AAAAAAAAAAAAAAAAAAAAGATGGCTGGGGCTATATTCATCCAAGTTGTGGGGTTGATGACCAAATTCCCCCAAAGGCTCTCTGAATCCAGACTTTAGGAAATGAACTAAAGCTGTCCAGTTTGCCTGTGTTGGTTAACCCTGATTATGTGGATACAGATGGCAGTGCAGTGGGTGCTGCTTCTTAAATACAAGTTTGTATGAAGATGGCGAGATGCCCCAACCATTTCTAGTATTTGTCCCGACTGTCCGTGTTGGGAAGTACCCATGTTTGTGAACAGCTGTTTTCCGTTACAAACCTGAATCAAATGAAATATCGCTCCCAGTTTAAGGATTCAAGGTTGAATTCTAAATTGCCCACCCACTGTGACATCCAAGGCCTAATATGGATGTCTTGTTGTGGTAGGGAAGATGTCAGCCTTTTGGCTTCAACTCAAAGGCGCAAAGAATTATGAAAGAGAAAATTTTAATAATTAAATATTTCTATTTTTCAATTTGTATTTTTTCAATTTTGAATTTAAAATATAAATTCTAGTATCGTACATGTTTGTATTATGTTCCATGCATTCACCATAGTTCAGTAAAGATACGATTTAATTATATATCTGGCCGTTGACTGTTCTTATACCTGGCTAGTTCACTCATTTATGTGACCCGCCTGGCCCCTGTAGGCATTTGAGTGTCCCGTCCCTGGCCTAGAACTGTTGGAATCAAGTCTGGGAGAGGGGGGACTGGGAATCTGCATTTTGAATAAGCTCTGGGTGATTCTTAACGTGTATGAGTGATGGCATAGGAGAATCTGCTGGTAGCTGAAGACGTGTAAGTGGGTGAGATTTCCCAAGCAGTCTGTGTCACGGGTGGTTTTTGAAATCTCAGATGGCTTCAGGGACCAGGCAGGTGATGAAAATGTGTGAAGCGGACGGGTGTAAGACGATAGGGAATGATGGAGACTGTGGCGAACTTGGAGAGTGCTTGCCCCGCCTAGTGGCATTCAAATTAAAAACAAAAACACTGTGAGGACCAAACAAAATCTGCTGGTGGGTCTAATGAGGCCGCCGGGCTGCCATTTTGCGACCTCTGGAAGAATGAGAAGATTCGAGAACAAGGACAGAATCCTGAGAAAGACCCACTTGTGAGGGTTGGTCAGGGAGCCGGAAGACAGGAGGAGAACCAGGCAAGTGTGGTGTTCTGGAAGCTGAGAGTGTTTTTTAAAGAAAGGAGTGATGGATGCACCAAATGAAAGGGGCCCTAGCAGCTGTCGTTCTTTCCATTAGGGTGGAAATCCCCCTGCAGGGAACATGGATGTGGGGCCAAAACAAATTGGTCAGAAAGAAATGTTTCCAGTCTCCGTTTTGGCCATCTTCGGCTTATGATGCACCCTTCTTGTCTTTAACACTGAATTAGATGAACCAGAGGGGCTGTGATGGCCTGATCCTGTGAGCATATTCACACAAGTGAGGCAGAAGAAAGCCTGTGGTTATTGGAATGCCCAAAGAGATCCAGACACAGATTTAAACACAACTTACAGGCCGGGTGCCCAAGAGCCAGCCAACACCAATGCAACAAATTGTTGTTTGAATGTTGAATGTTTTTCTCTTGAATGCAAGGTGCTCTTGAAGCTGCCTATGTGTAGAAAAAATAGTGAAAACCTTAGAACAGGAGGGTTTAGGCCCTAGCTTCTGCACCAACCAGCTCTGTGCCCTTGAGCAAGTACTTGTACTTTACCCATATGTCAGGTTACTACTGCATAGGATTGTTGGAGGGAATGGTGTGGCTCAGCACAGTCCTTGACACGGGAGAGCTGCAGGTAGCCACTGCTGTCACTGGCTGGTATGATTTAGAAGGTAAAACGTAGTGGGCAGGAATGCTTCTAAATATTCATCCCAACTGGCATGGAACACCAGTGTCCACAAAGGTTATAATTGAGTGATTTATTGGAAACATTTTCTTTTTGACCAGGTTAGTTTTGGATCATGCATCTGTGGAAGCAAGACTGGGAATTCCTGAGAATTCTTACAAATAAGCAGATCTGGCACAGTGGCAGGACATAATTGGAAGAACTTGTGTTTTGAGGCAAAAATGCTAAAACACATATTAATAGTTGCAAACCTGTCTTGGGGGAAAGAAAATTCCCACCTGCCACCTCCAAAGAAAAATTGGGTATGGTGGTGCCTGTATGTAGGCCCTGCTACCTGGGAGACCAAGGTTGGGGGAATGCTTGAGCTCAGGAGTTTGAGGCCAGCTTGGGCAACATAGCGAGACTATCTCTAAAAGCAAATACATGAAAAAAATAAAAATTATGAGAAAAATGATACCTTTTATAAAGCAATACTAATATATCTGTTTAACAGTACATAAAACTGGGGCGGTGCCTGTATCTCGGTAGGGCACCGGCTTCTTATACTGAAGGTGGCAGGTTTGAACCTGGCCCCGACCAAACTGCAACAAAAAATAGCCGGGTGTTGGGGCGGTCGCTTGTAGTCCTAGCTACTCGGGAGGCTGAGGCAAGAGAATTGCCTAAGCCCAGGAGTTGGAGGTTGCTGTGAGCTGTGATATTATAGCACTCTACAGATGGCAACAAAGTGAGACTGTCTCTAAAAAAAAAGTACACAAAACTCAGTATTTTCCCACCATCTCAGATTTTTTAAAAAATTCACTTTTAGGTGGTACCTGTAGCTCAAGTAGCTAAGGCGCCAGCCACATACACCAGAGCTGGCAGGTTCGAATCTGGCCTGGGCCTGCCAAACAATGACAGTTACAACCAAAACATAGCCGGGTATTGTGGAGGGCACCTGTAGTTCCAGCTACTTGGGAGGCTGAGGCAAGAGAATTGATTAAGCTCAGGATTTCACTTTTAAAAGGTATCATAACACACATCAGTAGAGACTCATAAAATCAAAGAACAATAAAGTATGTGAAATGAAAAGTACCCCTGTACACCTCCCCCTCCCCCTCTCCCACCCCAAACACACACCCTAGGTAAACCACTTTCTTTCCCAAGGCAGATAAACCAGTTTAATGTTTGAATTTATATATATACATACATACATATATATATATACACATGGTTATATACACATTTGGTTTCTTTGTTTTTTGAGACTCACTTTATCACCCTCAGTAGAGTGCTGTGCTGTCATAGCTCACAGCTACCTCAAACTCCTGGGCTTAACCGATTTCCTTGCCTCAGCCTCCCAAGTAGCTGGTAATACAGGTGCCTGCCACAAGGCCTGGCTATTTTTAGAGACAAGGTCTTGCTCTCGCTCAGGCTGGTCTTGAACATGTGAGCTCAGGTAATCCATCTGCCTTGGCCTCCCAGAGTGCTAGGATTATAGGCATGAGCCACTGCGCCCGGCCTGTTTTCTTTTATATATACATATGTAAAAGTGGGATCAAGGTATTTTGTTCTTTCTTCCCCCCCACCCTCCGCCACAAGTAGTGGCCATTTGTCTACATCATTCATTACACATGGCTTTATGTCTTTTTTTTTTTTTTTT